GAGAGGTCCCCCCCCCCATCCCACCCCGTCTTCCCGGTCCGCTCGGTCCATCCGGTTCGGCTGGCCCTCTCAGTCCATCCGGTCCGCTCGGTCCTCCCGGTCGTTCGGGTCCTTCTGGTCTCCGCGATCCTCCTGGTCCACCCGGTCTGCCTAGTCTTCCCGGTCTTGCCGTTTCATCAAGTCCTCCCAGTCTTCTCGGTCCTCCCTGTCTACCGCCACCTTGTGTCGCGCGGGGCAGAAAGCGGTATTCCTTTCAACTGCGAACGCGCAGCGGCCCGACAGTCAGTTGTAGGTGAGCGCGACGGTCCGACGTCTGCTGTCGATGATCACAGCGGTCCGACAGTCGGCCGTTGGTGACCGCAGCGGCCCGACAGTCAGTTGTAGGTGAGCGCGACGGCCCGACGTCAGCTGTCGGTGATCACAGCGGTCCGATAGCCGGTCGTTGGTGACCGCAGCGGCCCGACAATCAGTTGTAGGTGACCGCAGCAGTCCGACAGTCAGCCTTCGGTGATCACAGCGGTCCGACAGCCGGCCGTTGGTGACCGCAGCGGTCCGACAGTCAGCCGTTGATGATCACAGCGGTCCAACAGTCGGCCGTTGGTGACCGCAGCGGTCCGACAGTCAGCCGTCGGTGATCACAGCGGTCCGACAGTCAGCCGTTGGTGACCGCAGCAGTCCGACAGTCAGCCGCCGGTGATCACAGCGGTCCGGCAGTCAGTCGTCGGTGATCGCAGCGGCCCGACAGTCAGCTGTCGGTTATCACAGCGGCCCGACAGTCAGCCGTCGGTGATCACAGCGGCCCGAGCTGAATAAATCGTGCGGTAAGCGCCAGCATGGAACAAATCAACCACCGGCGCTCTTCATTTCACAATGATTCATCGACTACTTCTAAACCGAAAGAACGCAGGAGCTTTGCCGGAACTTCGGTCGCGACTCCGCAGAGCAGTTGAGGAAGCCGTGAACGTATATTATAGATTGAAATGGGCCAATAACTTGCATTAACATGGCCAACACATGTTTTTGCCCAGCAATTTTCAGCTTTCATTCAGAATACATTTGTGAGAAGAAGTGTAGAGTGTTTTTGAGTATGCACGCTCGAAAATCTTGGCGACAAAAACCTTGACGCCCGGCGTTGCAGTCGCAGTAGGCTGTTCGGTTTCTGCCCTGTAGCTAATACTAGGCGTTGTTAATGGATGCCGAAAATATGGTGGTGGAATTGGCAGACTAAAGGTAAAATGCCTCTATTTTTTCGCGTTGTTTTAACCATTCATCTGTCTGGTTATAACCACAAAATTGTAAAAAGATATGCCCCAGTCTAATTTTTAGGAGTGCGGACTTGCCTTGAGACTTTTGGAAGCATCGTTTCAAGACGGTCGATCTGGTGTACACGGCACCCACTGCCTGGTCTAACTAACGATGGTCAACGCCGTTGTGCTTTGCGAAAACTGCAACAGCGGCCATCGCTGTTTTTGCTCCCGAGATTGCACAGGCTCGGAATTTTCTCTTTGGGATTTGTTGCACAACTCTATTCTGCAAAGGAATGAACACCGCTAGGCAAACATGGGTTGACTTTTTTAAATTATTTGAACCCACCCTATTCAACACCAATTAAGTTTCTTACTTTATGCAGGCGAAAGCTCTCCTTGAGTAGAACCATGCAGGGCACATTATCACCCCGTCCATGGGTTGAAGGGCCATTCCGTCCCAGCGCGGGGTGCCTTCCGGTTGTCATTCTGACGATACAGGGGCTGGGGTCCCCTGATCGACCCGGAGCCCCTTAGAAAGGTGCATGATATCACATTGGTCCACTCCCGGACGCAAAAGGCTTCTGACCTGTGCACTTGATGCCGGATAGACGCAGGAACCCACATTGACGCAACAAGAGTCCTGATCGCCGCAGGTGGTCCAATAATTGGCACATAGCTCCCAGTTCGGCTTAACGGGCCCCTACCAGTAAGACAGAAGCGGGTCCATGTCGGCATTGGGTTGGAGGGCCCACCTTTCGGCACTGAGGGGCCCTGACTAACACAGGACTCTTCCATTGCCTCAATGAAGACTCATCGCATGTTCTCATGTTTCCTTTCATTGTTAGAGGCCACCAACCAAAGCAAGAGGCCCTCTAGCAATCGGGATAGGCCCCTTGTTGATATAGGACACTCGATTAGGCACTGTGGGCGCCTGATTGACACAGGAGCCCTGCATTGTTGCAGAGGCTCCGACTAATGCGAATAGCGGACCCGGCCTTGTCTCTGCTTGGGAAATGGGCCCCCAGAGCTTAGACCGAAACGGAGCTGGGTGTTCGGTTTTGGCGATCTCTAGCCGAAACAGAGGAACGCACTGTCTGAGAGGTCCCCGATCGGTGCAAGGGGCCCTTTAACTGACATTTGAGCTCATACCTCTTCGGGCGGGGGTTCCCAATGTGGCCTACAGCCAACCATTCGGGCCCCTCAGCCTTTCAATCAGGCCCTTGATCTTTGGTTCCGGGGGGCTCTTCAGGCCCCCTTCGAGTCCCCTCAAACGCGGATCCTGGAAACTCGGGTCACTTGCCGACACAGGACCACTGTGGGTGCCGTGGCCGATACATAGCCCCATTGTTTCAGGAACGCGACCAATGCAAAGCACAGCCTTGCTTGTGCTTGGGAAACGGACCCTCAAGGGTCAGACCGACACGAAGCCGACAGTTCGGTGTTGGCTGTCTCTGGCCGAAATAGAGGCCCGCACTGTCCCACGGGTTCCCAATCAATGTAAGCGGCGCTCTGAATGGCATTTGAGACAGCGGCCTTACGGGCAGGAGGCCATGCTTATTGTGACCTATGCCCATTCCTTCTGGCCTCTCGGCCCCTCCAGCCGTCCAATCGGGCCCTTCGTCTTTGCTCCCCAGGGGTCCTTCGGTCCCTCTTCGGGCCTCCTCAAACAAAGCTCGTGACGGACTTACGGCCACTTGCTGACGCACGACCCCTGTTTAGGCACTGTGGGCCTCTGGCCGGCACAGCAGCTCGATCACTGTTTCAGGGACACCGACCAATGCAAATCGTGGGCCGCGGCCTTGCTTCTGCTTGGGAGATGAGCTCTCAGGGTTCAGACCGACACGGAACCAGCTGTTGATCCGTAGGCTCGTGAGCTGAATGACTGATACTTCAGGTCACGAGCCTACGGACCGGAGTCCTCTGTGTGACCTACAGCCAGCCCTTCAGAACCTCAGAACCTTCAGAACCCTGCTTGGGGAAGGCCCAGCGGGCCGAAACCCCTGAATGCGACCTTGGGCCGGCCTCTTAAACCCTATTGTGTCTCGAGGGGCCCGAAGGACCCCACAGGACTTAAGGCGGGGAGAGGGAAGGGGCACGTGCCTCCCGCGCCCACTGTCTGTGCCACTGCTCAGAGCCCCCAGCACCAAAAGCGTATTCCAACACAGTTCAGCGAGGGGCCCGCTGAAGCCGAACTGGAGTCACTGTGCCAGTCATTGGATCCCAGCTAAGGAGTACTTTCGTGAGGGCTCCTGTGTCGATTCGGGTCAAACTGCTCCAGAAAGGGGTCTCCGCGTCAGGGGGAGGGGACGATGCATAATGTGTCCCAATGAGGGCCACCGGATCGTCCAGGAGTCCCCGGCGCACGTGCCGTCAAAGTCGCAGCCGGGAGATACCTAATCTACCCGGCCCTTGAGCCCCTGACTGGGAAAGCTAGGCGATCTCTTGAGTGTTCACCAGGATGGATCGGCACAGGGCCAAAAACTGCAACACAAGTTTGCTTGAGGACGTTCATCCGCTTACCGAATCGACTTGTGAACAAAACAAGATGAAGCAGTTTTGAGAGTCTGTCCACAAACTGTTATGTATGGAGGGACGGAGAGGAGAGGTGACCCCTGCAACAATGCAATCAGGTCAATCCTGTGTCAATCAGGTGCCCACAGTGCTTACCCGATTGTCCTGTATCAACAAAGGGCCCACCCTGAATGCTAGAGGGCCTCTTGCTTTGGTTGGGGCCCTTCAAACAACGTAACGTCTCGTTCAGGTGTGGTTCCGAATCATGTCGATCCGTGTAAACCAAATACAAACTTACAAATATTTAAAACCTAGATACCGTTTACCGCCTACGCCCCCTACCGCTAGGACCACTTTCACTGATGGCAAGGAACACGCTCGTTATTTACATCGCACCCCCAGCTTAATTACGCGTCAGACTTGCTTCTCGGGATGTACTCAGATCTTGCTTCTCGGGATGTTACGTTTAACACAGAGTAACCAAGGGGATGGGGGTTTATCCAGCGTAACCAGAGCGTAACCGGAGGTAGGGTGGGTTGAAAATACTTGAAGATGCGAAACATAATTTATGGCTGGCCTGAGCGTATGCGCTCGGGATCTTTGCGAGCAAGAATTTCCAGGCCCGGTGTTGCAGTTTCTACCGAGCTGAGCGGCGTCAGTCCTTGCAGCTGATATTGGGCGGCGGATGATGACGCGCCAATGAGGACGGGCATCGTGAAATAATGGCTCTGGAAGCCTCCAACAATGAATTCCCACCGTTCAAAGGCTAGACTGACGGCACACACTTGAACCCCACAAGTTTGAGGTTCCTGCTCCGAGCAGATCAGCAGTCCAGTAATTCAAGCCAAAAACCACATCCAGACATCGCTTTTACTGTTCCAGGATCCAGCTAGATCTAGTAACATGGCCCAAGTAGCCAACGCGTTCCCAAATGAAAATAATCGTGTACTGGAACAGACTGTCTCAAGACACCTTTGCTCGCCTTTATCACTCCGGGCGCGCGGCACCTGCCCTGCCCAGAGTTCATTAGTTCAGACCCCGGACCTATTAGCTGACAGCTTCACCCCGCCGCTTCGCCCAGCGGCCAGCGATTCCAATGAACTCCGACGCACCCGCCACAAACCTTCATTGCCTCTGTAACTGGAGCCCAGGGCCTCTCCCCATACCATGGGCCTTGAACACAGCCGCAGTTAGGTCACTCGTCTCACTTCCACATCACCAGGCACACTGTAAACACGCAAAGGCGAAGGCATACACATTTTATTCAAATAAAAAAGACTGCTTGTGGGCGCAAGTACAGTTGGACCGTGTATGAGTTACCCGAGCACGGCACAGTGCATCCTCCTGGGCCACGCGGCACTGCCAACACAGCCGCCAACACAAGCGAACTGGGGACACCTATCACAACGGACGCGCCGGCAGCCAGCCGCGGACGCCATCACGGCCGGCCGGCCGGCCGCCGGCAGTTATCGCGCGCCGCCGACGTCGGGAGGGCAGCCGCGGCGGCGGCGGCGGCGCCGCGGTGGCACCTGCGGGGGCACGGGCAAGGGTAACATGCCGTGACGAACGTGATGGTGATCCCAGGAGGACGGAAGTTGTCAGAGAAGTCCCGCCCACCACGCTGTAGTTCCGGAGAACAATGACGTAGCCTCTCACGTAAAGCGATGACATCGCATTCGTGAAAAGCCTGCCTGCCTTAGTAATCAACTCGGCACTGTATTAAGCCACCGCACGTGACTAGTTCAGGTGCCATCTCGCGGCATGAATCTCAACTGACAATTTAGTTCGTTGACACCGCCCATGAAGCGATGGTTAATAGACGGGCCAGAGATCGTTGGCTCTCTTGCTCTACTTCCTTGCGCCTGATTAGCAAAAGACACCGGCAATAGCGATAGCCACAGAACAACAGACGACAGAATAGTCTTACATTACAAAGTCATTCGTCCCGAACAAACAATATGAACGCAAGCTGAATGAGACGTCTTCATTACATAAGCGCGAGATCAACTTTGACGAAACGCCGTCGAGGGTCCAGGAGATTAATGACAAAAGCAAAATATGTGTGGCTGGCTTGGTCTAGCCGCCACCGGTGGTCCGCCGCCGCTCGTACCGACATCCACGCAGGACAGACACTAGCCGGGTCCCGGTCATTCCTCGAGGTCCGGCAGCTCCCCCGTGTCCGAGTCCGAGTCGCTGAGATCGTCCATGCTGGGCTTGGCGCCGTCACCGCCGGCGCCGGCTCCGCCCAGCCCTCCCATCTGCTTCATCATCTGCGGCAGGGCAACAGTGGGCGGTTACGAGACGACTGAGCAGCGTGGCAGTGCCGGAGATGGGCGGTGTGTGCTCAGCTCGTGTAACAGCCGGTGACAGGCGCTGTGAACTCGAGGCAGTGTCCCAATGGTACAAGGGTCGCAGTTCCAGCACAGGCGTGCATGTGTCAGCGACTGCCTTCGCCGAACGTGGTCGAGCGCCAGCAAACAGAAATATTCTAAGGGACCGCGATCACCCACCGTTGTTGTACACTACCGTTACTGTACACAAATTGCAAGGGGCAGGCTGAATGGACCGCCAATCCGAACAACCACAAGGTGTGTACAAAGTCAGTGACATGGGAACCGCAACACACCACTCACCGCCTCCAGGTTCATCTCGTTCTCGGTGTGACATGGGAACCGCACCACACCACTCATCGCCTCCAGGTTCATCTCGTTCTCGGTGTGACATGAGAACCGCACCACACCACTCACCGCCTGCAGGTTCATCTCGTTTTCGGCGGGACGTGAGAACCGCACCACACCACTCACCGCTTCCAGGTTCATCTCGCTCCCGGCGCCATCCTCGTCCTCACTGTCGTCCTCGTCCTTCCATTTGCCGAAGTCAACCTTGAGCCAATGCATCTTGGAAGTCGCCTTGAGCAGACGCGGCCAGTACGGCCCCTCCTCCTTCTTCATCAGCACCAGCTGGATGTTTCGGTCCGAGATCTGCTGCTTAGAGGTCTGTAGCGACATAGAGAACAGGTGACGACTCGGGCGCTCGACCAACATCCGGTGCGCATCGCACCACTCAACAAACACTACTGAACGCTCGGTGTCGGCTCTTACATTTACATCACTGCCAGCCACGTACGTAGCCAAACTTTGCTGATGTGCCAAATGTAATATCTCCTCCAAATACTGCGAATTGCAACAAACCGTGCGAAACCCCTCGAAACCTGAACCATAACACGACGGCTTGTCTTCGCAGAGAACAGAGGCGGGCGGCTTTATATCAAAAGTTGAAAATTCCTAGGCCGATGGCACACCGAACTTTGATGACTGCCCGGTGCGACGCTCCGAGTGTTGTGGCACGAGTATTCCGGACAGGTTGTGAGGTAGGGATATTTCCCGGACAGTTCGAGTTTGGCTTTGTCCACACTGGGACGATTTCGTGAAGCAATACCTGCTCACAAAATAAGCCCAAATGGCGACCCCAGACCGAAGCAGCGGCAGATAGCAAAGCAGAAATAAAAGCTTATCACTAGATACCGGGCTGCCTGGAACAAGCAACAAATTGGAACGGCTGCAAATACCGATAACGCAGCTGACTGCAATGTATATCCAAACGCAAATACCGGATAACGAAACAGGACAGATACCACGCAGTGCAAAGAATCCGGCAAGCAAAGTATTTTGGTGAAATCGAATAGCGATGAAACAGTGTGAAAGAAATGATTGAAACTAGTCCGAAAATTAACTTCAAAATATGAAAACACAACAGTTATTTGCCCCGTTTCGGACCACGGGAAAAAAGTCACTGGGATTAAGTATGGTAAATACCACACCAGATCATAAAAACATGTTATACTGTTATATTGCTAAATTGCAGATGGCAAAAGATCGCTAACGTTGCCCGTTTCTTCAGACTTTGTTTTAAGCAGCAGACAAAGATTATCAATGAGCTACAGCTTCAATAATGTAATGCCTAATAGAACGCCTTCTCCGAATAAAAGCGTGTAAAAGAGCTACTATATAGCTATGAAACAATAAACAACACTTTCCCTGGTTTTTCAGTTAAACACGATGCAAAGACGTTCTTACCAGTCACAACTAAGGCTGAGATCACCATGACGCCAACAGCGTTGTAACTTACTTCAGAGTCTATTGATCCATAAAACTCCATGTCCGCTTCATAGGTCTTCTTGTCAGAACCCCCTGTTCCCTTGAAGTGCAAACGGCTTTCTTCCACCTTGATATCTGCGTCCTTGACATCTTCCACATTTATCGTAAGGAAGATAAGATTGTTTCTTTGCGCCCAAGTCACTGGTGGATGGATGATTCTGAAACAGAGACAGCAATGAACGCGACAGTAACGTGCAGGGCGGGAGCCCGCGTACCACTGACGCACATGTCTTCAGATCTGCCCAGCTCGGACAAAGGTCAGGTGCACCTTAAACCCCAGCAGCCAGGGGCCTCAGAGGACGCACGTAAAAAGCCACAGCTGTCTGGGATCTGAAATCTCGATTTCATGTTGAATATCTTTGACACCAATCTGAGCACTTTGCCAACATTTCTAACAGATGAATTTGAAAAGCTAGTTGGGACACTGGACCCAGTTGTGTCTTTGAAAACTTCTGAGCCATTCTGAGAATGACACTGACAGTTTTTGCAGCTAATTTTAATATATACATACCAATATAAATACACATTTATATGTATATATATATATATATATATATATATATAAATTTGTACTTAAAAATGTACGACCAAGAAAAGGCTGTCATGCGTGGCATGCCCAGTCCATTACAAACATCTTTCGAACGTGGACGCTGTGTAATCACACGATTTAAGCGTCTGTTGGACAAAATCCTGTATATGGCACATTTTGAAGAAGGAGAAGATAGAATATTAAAAACAGTGTTCCTTTTATTTTTCACCTGAGACACTGGCACGAGATGTTGATGACATCTGTCATATGTAAAGTCTCTCATAGTGGTCATGATAATTCACTATCACTGAATTCACTTGGTACCTGGGGGATTCCAGGGCAATGCAACCACGGCCGCACACCCTCAGGTTTCAGAATAAGTGCAGGTGGTCTTCTGAACTGCTATCTGACACCCTGAAGACGTCTGCGCAAATCTTATGACTCATCCGAGTAACGGTCGCTGAGGTAGAGCCTCGGGCAGTTTTAAGAGGTTTTGCTGCACTCTTCTTTGATGGCCCATAACTTGCAGTGGAGCGATTCATAACCCATTCAACTATACATCGATGAGCTTGCAATGGGGCAGACCCACAAATGTGCGCATAAGTGGCGCTTAGAACGCTATATTCACATATCTCTTAACTGAAAAGAGATATCGACATGCGGTCAACGCCAGTCGATTCTATACTTGACTCTTGGCAATAAATTTAGTACGACTGCATAACCGGAGGCCAATGCCAAAGGCATATTCCGGGCCAAACATCAATAAATTGTTTTTGCTTGCGTTTTGTTTAGGTACATTAGCAAAGCTGTTCGATGGCTTCATAGGGCAGAAAATGTGAGCAGAAGCATCCCATTCGCGTACCGATGCCGCCACGGTGCTTGGGAAGTGGGCATGGGGTCTGCCTCGCGACGCCCGTCTTTAGCCACGTTCCGCAAAATGGCAAAATGGTCAAGGGGAGCGAATGTGGGACACCGACCGTCGCGTCGAAGACATAACGCAGTCGTTCTCGAACAAAGGGAAATGCGCAGCCGTGGTCAGTTGGCGACCAGACTGTGAAGTGTTGGAGCAACGGGCAAAGAGCAGTGCTTTGAATTTGCGAGATACCGCGCCAATCACATTTTTGCTGCGACTCTTACTTGTGGCACAAGAGCAAAACAGCGAAAGAATTGGTAAAACCATCCGATCAACTCATCCAGAGTATAATGACCCAAGACTTACAGCTTATGACGTGATACGCATAAATCGTCGGATAATGCTAACATAGGGCCCGAACAGCCCGCCAGCACTAACAGGAAGCGGCTCAATTTCTGTCATGCTTCAATCAAGCGATTCAAGCAAAGGTGATGCCGAATCAACTGGATGGGTCGGCTCGTCTTTGGAAGCTAGTGTCAGCCGGCAAGACACCGAGTCAGTGACGCTGTTTCTAGATGTCGCCACCGGCCAAAGCAAGCGTTCAATGTCGTCTTTTTCCAGCAACTGGTTTCAAAGCGGTTTGATATGTTATGAGACAACGCCTAAATGCCTATTATCTAAATGATAAACGTGTAGCGAGTTTAACGTGATCGTAAACATCGGCCTCGCATCATAACCTTAAGGGGCAAGAAATGTAGTGCTAATCTTATATAGCGTTCGACCTTTGCGCCTTAAATGTCCTCGTATGTGTTTGTTTTCGCGTCTCCGCGCAGTTATTAGTTGCTGATTATTACTTGAAAATCTGACCCAATGTGAAAGGACGGCGCTAACTGCTGCACCGAAAGTAGAAAATTCGATTATCCGCGGAATACGGTTTGTCAATACCTTCTACAAATGTATCTGCAGGAGCAGTTTTGTCAAAGTGCACTAAATATGCAGACGTGCCTAGTTTTATCTGCATATGAAAGCATCAACACCACCGATTTCTATTTACAAAAGGGTGAACCCGGGACAAAAACGGGCGGCACGGGTCAGAAAGCTCAAACATCAAACATCTCTCTGAAGAGGAAGCTGCAACAGACGCTCAACGCTGACCTGAAGCGATGACGAAAGCTACCATTGACCCTGAGTGGTCGGTCTGACAGGACCGTTACTGTGAGAGGCACACGCAATTTCGCCGACTCTCGCCCATGAATCCTTCAGACTACACTCGTTCGCGAGTTGTCTACAGACCACGGCGGAAGGGAAGTAAAAATTACTAGTGAGCATGTAGCGACTGCAGGCATTTGGCTGGGCTCTGTCGCCGAATCCCCTCACTACGGAAGTCGGCGGTCACTGGTCTCTAGAAACACGCTGCACTGTGCACATGTCGATGTTTGATTTGAGCATCGTAAAACACAACAGTTACCTATATTGTACTGTATTGTTGCATTGTTGCAACAGTCAACAGCGCTGTAGTCCAGGGGAGGTGCATCCTGGTGTGTGAAATACATTCCTCGTGACCAACTTTCATTTTGTGCCGACATGAGCGTGCAGCAACTGGAACAGTGACAGCAGCTTCTGCTTCACATTAAGTGAGATGACCCCATCCTCGGTCATCTTATGAGTCCGGCCTTGCACTGACTGTTTCCGATGCGTCAGAAACATTCATAAAGCACAGCAGGATAATGCCGCTAAGCGCTCCCCTTCGGTAGAACTACTCAATCTGTGTACACGATCTTACCAATGATCTTGATCTTGAACTAGAATCTAAGCATGCCTAGATGCTTGCTCAGAATCACTTATCCAATAAATTGTCATTAACCGCATCTCGATACCTTTCTCCACACAGTTCAGAGATATCGAGAGGAGCATACACTGCTTATTATTACATTTATCGCTTAGAATAATGTAAACAATCGACTGACACTGACAGCACATCGATACCTTCATTCAATGCGGAGATAGTGTTCGAAGCGCCACCTATACACACTTTTGCGAGGCTCAAAAAAGCACTTCATAGGTAAGTCATTATTGATATATTTATGGCAAGGTTATGGATAGAAGTGTATTTGACGTCCAGATAAATAAATATCTTTCCGTGCCAAAGCCAAGATATTTCACGTAAGAAAGGGTCACTACATCACAAACAAGAAATCTCAAGAATCAAGCATTTCGAGATTGCCCCAAGTTTTGTCGCATCATTGCAAGTTCACTCATGCATACGTTTATGGGATTTAAGCCATTCCGCTGCAAGTTATGGGCCATCAAAGAAGGGTTTGCAGCAAGACTTCTCAAAAACTGCCCGAGGCTACAACTCAGTGACCGTTGTTTGGCGAGATATAATATTGGTACAGTCCTCTTCAGAGCCTCAGACTACCCATTAACGAAGTTTCATCTTTTTTTAAACATTGAGGGGGTGCAAAATTCGGAATTTTTTGCTGTTTTGTCCTGGAATGGCCCACCAGTGAACATGACGTGGCCTAGGGGGGACACCTGCTCCAAGTTACATTATGTGGGAGCAAGTGGCGTCGAGTGCATATTCAACATGAAATGAAACCATGCCTGAACCCAAATGAACTTGACATTAGCTCAACAAGACGGCTGTAGCTGTGAGCCATACAAATGAGGACTTCAGAACTCACAGTTAAAATTAAATAACAATACAGTAATGTGCATAACAAAAGCTTCATCATACCAAGATAGTTCAAACCTGTTCCAGAAAAAAGCTAAGGGACCACAGCCAAGGAGAATATCTTGGTGGCTCAATTCGTCGGGCAGGGTCTGACAGGCTGTCATGTGGGAGGTCTCAGGTGACTTAGAAGGGAAGACTTGAGGAGCTGTTCCAGTGATGCCTCAGATACCATCTCAAACAGCTGTTGGGTCCTTCCTCAAAATTTGCTGAGCCCTTCCTAAACATTCGCTGGATAACATAAGTTGCTCAGTGCATTAGCGAGGAACATTAGACACATAGATAAGATGGTAGCATTAGCCTTATTCCTCAGAAAAACCAGGAGAATGGAAATATAGTTAGGTTGATATTTCAGGCAACATGCCTTTCTGAAAACAATAGCAGAAGATTGGTTGCTATCATTTTGAGAAAGTTATACTTCTTATCTTTAGGTAATATTCTGCTATTGTTTTGAGAAAGGCATGTTGGCAAAAAAATCAACCAACTATATCTCCATTCTCCTGGTTTTTCCAGATAAGGCTAATGCTACTCGCTTATCTATTTTCTGGATCATTTTGACTCCACACTGAAATTTATATGACCTTAAGTAGCAAATTTTCAGCATCTGCTGTGAAAACTTAGTTCTTACTGTAGCCAAAATATCTTTCATCATTTGGTTCAGGCTCAAATTATAACCTCTTTGTTGAGGTAAGTTGGTCACATTTTTATCCTAGATGTTTGCTTCTTACAGGGGGCATTCACATTTCTGAGTTTTGAACTGAAATGACCATTCTGAAGATTATTCAGTACAGGTCCCAGCCTTGTCCTTCTGAGCACCTAAGCCCCTGTAGTTTCTGAGCTACACACACATGTGGAGGCATCCAGACTAATAATAGGAGACTTTTTCAATGTCATCATGGCATCCATGGTGCCATATAATCATTAAGATGCTGCCATTCTACTGGCCACATTCTATTCACCAAGAAAAAGATAATTGATGAGTTGTCTATATCTGGCATTTGTGAGCACAATTTCCAGATATAACAGCCATCAATTGGCTCCTAATGAATGTTGTGGGAAGTATAATGACACAATGAAGTATTAAGGAGAATATTTGCTAAACATACACATAGTTTGGTCTCCATAGCTCCTCAAGTCCTGTAAACTCTATTCTAAGAATTTTCATCCAGGATAGGTAATTCCCCACTGTCATATCACTTGTTGACTTGTTTCCACCAAATAAATTATGTGCCCAAAGCTTTCCAAGGTTATCTGATGCAAGTACCCTGTGATTGCAAACCAAGAGAGTAATCTGGCCATACTGGCAGGATCTCACATAGATACCATACTATGCATCCCATTAATAATCAATGGGTACTTTATGTTGATGGCTCAGTGCACAGCTATACAACACTATTGCATCCACCAGAGCTTACAAATACACACTTCTCACACTAGAAAACCACATATAAAACACAAGTTACAAACAACTAGTATAGCCTGTTACTTTAATAGCCACATGGATTACATTTGATAAATTTTCCATCTAGCTCTATGATTGCCAACTCAGGCAAAAAAACATAGCTAATACAAAGGAAACCAAAGGCCCAATGCAAGGGAAATGCAGTCAATTATATGCTGTGTAAAAATGAGTATTCCAGCCTCACTCTCAGGGAGCTATGGGAATTGTGTGATGTCCATTGAGAACACTATCCCACCTGTCAGTTTGCTTTTGATACTACATGGACTTTTCATCACATGGGACAGTGACATAATTTACCTTCTTTCCCATGTCTATGCTGGACAACACAAGTTACTTTTTCCCTTTTGTTGATGAAAAGTAGTAGTAGTAGTCATAAATCACAGCTTTCTTGTGTATCCATATAGTTAGAATATTTCAGCAAGAACTTTCAAGCAAACCTTAGGCATGCATCAGGACAAACAAGCAGGCTTGGATCCTAATTGGACCATGATCAGATATGTATGTCTGGCATGATCATATATGCTGCTTTTTCCCATGATGCCACCTGCCTCTTGTCATCAACTGAGTAAAAAATGCATGCTTGACAATCCAGTGAGCACCATGAGCAGTTATGCTGAACATGTCCAACACAGCAGTGACATCCCAGCAATGGTGATGGTGCATGCAGGGTATATTTAATAACCCATAATATGGAATAATCATGACCAATTTCAGTGCAAAAACATCCAAGGTTTTGAGAAGCTTTGATCCTAAGCAGTTTAAGGCAAAAATACTCTCCAAATTTTTCAAGCAGAAATAATTTGAAAATCCAAACTAATTTGGCTTGACATCACATTGCTGAATGCAGCATATATTTTTCTACATGGTAAATGTCAAAAGCAAACATCCAGCACAGCATTCCTTTTACTTGCAAGACTTTGCCACCATAGCTACTAGTAGATCTGTCACAGAAGATACCCAATACAATGCAAAGTATTTCTTGAATGTACCTTATGACGAATACCAAGGTAATGATCAGCAGAGAATCGTGACAACAGCACACTCACACCCATTAAGTTATAACTAAAATGAAGTTCCACTTCAATTTGGTCTATACCTATCACCTTATCCGCCAAACAGGCCCATCCTTGCTCTCCCACTACATTCGCTTAAGCACACAATCTTACTCACCCTGTGCTTGCCATTTCCGCGGTAACCATAACACGCGGCCAGTGACGCTTCGCAGTGCAGCCGAAAACCCCAATTCGTCACGCGGATATTCTACAGCCCGGCGACGATCACCGCGCGAACCAAACGTTGCCCCGCGATATCCCACGCGGCGGGATGTAATGCCGGTAATGCCCTCTAGAATGTTCTCTGCGCGTTGAGCGCGTCCTCGAGAATATTTAGTACGAATTTATACTAAGAGGGGTATGGTGTTTAGTACCGATTTGTTTTAAAATCTGCGGAGTATAGTACGTAGAGATAAGAAACAGCGACAGTTCCAAGCTGAGAGTTGGGAGATTCCAGGATCAACAATATGGTGTTTGCTGCTGAGGAATAACAATAACGAAACAGCTTCGATACATCCTGCCTTGGCGATCTTGACTTTGGAAGGGCCGTAACCTCTCCGAAAGAGTCTAACTCTATTCTTAAAGATCTGGATATTATGCCAGTTCGGCAAAAGAATTGTACTGCAGTAAAACTCTGTTACCTTGAAAGTTGTGACAAAGCGCCGTCATATACTATTTTCTCTCACAATAATATATATAAAAGCAAAATTGATGGTGTGAAGCGTCATAGTTAAGTGAGTATCTGGATCTAATGGCTCGAGTGTAGTACTTGTGAACGACGCAACTAAACGCAAAACGGCGCTTTCGCATTGTCGTCCAACGACGTTAATTTGCGACACAGGAGCCCAGGAGACCAGAATGACTGAGTTCCAGGCATTTTAGAGGGATCTTTGTCTCCATAGATGTTGGATATAAGTAATCGTAATAAACCTTAAAATCAGGCTTATCGCGCTCAAGTGTTCGTAGATATATTTTACCCGTATGTGTACGACCAGGGGCCCCCGAATTTCCAATGATACATTGGCCAAAGGTGGTTGTTGAGATGGTGCTAATATCGCAATTGCTGTTTGTAAAGAGGACGCCTTGGATAGCAATCTTGCTATCAGCTATCAGCTATCGGTTATGAAAGCAGTCGCACGATTAGTCACCCGCAGTCACCCGACCGTCACAGCCAGGGTGTACGTAGATGATTTTCTGTTCGTGGTTAAAGAGCCTGCATCGCTTCTACCAATACTGGCCTTGCTTCAGTCCTGGGGTATCAATATTAACTATCTCAAAGGCGTGCCGACACCCTCGACAGCAACAAAATCTTCAGGTCTGCACGCAAATTTCGCTAGCGGCGTCATCCATGTCCCCCCGGACCAACAATCACGTGCGCTTCGTACCATAATGAAATCCTCCTATAAGTCGCTGAACCTCCGCCAAAGATTGGCTGGATATGTTAACTTTATAAGATCAGGGGTCGGACTCCCACTCCAGATCTTATGATAAATATTGAAAGGTGACTGGGCTACAACGAATCGGGCCATGGTGCATGATGCCATGGTTTATAGACCACTCGCTATACCATGACGGGTTCAGGAAGCATACGCAGTGGATCGTTTCAGGCGCAACATCGTATGCCCTAGACTGCGCCAACCCATCTGGTCGATTGTCTCAGAAACTGACTAGCTACCTACCTATTCACTACGCGTAACTGGCTGCCGTGAGCTTCGCAACGACGATCACGCCGGCCCAAACCAAAATATACGTCGACAACGCGGCAGCCCTATCAAACACACACAAGGCCGGTGTCCGGCGCCGTGGATGCCAATTGTCACTCATGTAATATACAATCGACGTTGTAGCATAAGGAAAGTAAACACACTGAACAGCTCCGCGGGCAAGCCGTCACGCTGGTAATCCGGGTCCGGCACCTACCAATACTTACTAACCTAATATAAGCATATGTGTTCACGTTGCCAGTCAGGCCCAACGCCAGCCTGCCGTGCGGCAGCTCGGTCGCGAGACTGCGTCCTCGCTAACAACGCTGCAAGACAGGCCCGCACCGTACTGCGGTGAACATCGCGGCTAGGTCAACGACGGGCAGCTGTTACGCAGCCAGATACGGGCATATGGAGCAAGGATAGTAACATAACATTAATTTTGGGTTTTCATGGCAAATGACTTTCACGGACACAAGAGCCATTTCATTTTCATTATTCTATCCCTTCTCAATGTTTCCTCGTGTGACAAAAAGCATGGATGGCCAACACTCCAGCACGCATAAGAGCTTGTAGCAGTCGAGGCTCAGTCATCCAGATACCGGTTCGCCCTGATCGTGTTAGATAGGAGAACGAAGTAGGCACAGAGTACAAACCACCGTTTAGCGTTGGATACTTAACTATACTCATAGTATAAAGGACAAAGTTACAAAACAACTCTATGGCCCGAAACCTTACATACTTTCCTCTGGACACGCCAGTGGTGGTATACAACATTTCATCTTCTGGTTAAAGCGAAATTTGGCTCTGAAATGCTCGAGGGCATCTATCATTGCGCATCAACGTTGTTGTGATGGTGACGCCTCACATTTTTAGCAAAATGCGTCGGTAATTGATTCAGTTGATTAGCACACTAGCAAAGGGAATGCCAATTGTCCACGATTTGTGCGTTCTTTTTGTTACGCTGGTAAATTGCGGCACATACATGGAAGCTGTGACAAAACAGCACTAACCATGCGCGCATACGCATATGCGTGCACAATACACACATATTCGCAGCAGCGAGATCAAGATACGGATGGAGAACGAGAGCAAGAGTCGAAGAACCTGAGCGAGGGGGATAGAGGGGGAGGGAGGTAAAGAGGGGGGGGGGGGGGAGAGAGAGAGAGAGAGAGGACTCACATAGTGTGACTTTGATATCAGCGCAAATGTAATGTAGCCATGTGCTGCACCCATCGCACCCGATCACTCGTGCCTCACAGACTTTCTGGCAGACCGCGTATTCCCAGTGATGAAGCACTGCGTGCTATCGGCAAACATGGGATCATTGCAACTGGCTCAGGCGGAGGGCTTCAATTCGGTGACATTGACTGAAGACGGTTGGACCTTACCAGCTAGTCCTATGGGTATGCCATACGCGAATAATTGCGTCTCTTGAACAGTGAGAGCCCAACATGGCCATCCAAAGTGTTTGACGTAGCCCGGTAGGAAGCACCCATTCTTGACTTTTTATTCTCATCTACCTTTTTGTTCAGGGGCATTCCGGCGGGTTGGCCTCGCTCAACATGGGTAAAGTTCAAGCTTAACACACGTGCTCTTGCAAGTGTCATACTGGTCTGGCTGGGGCAAAAACTCGCAGACGTAAGTGAAGTGGCATGCCATACCTATGCCTTTTCGTATCAGCTGTGTCTTACTGAACGATTCCAGCTTCAGGTGTGCCTCCCTGGTCATAATGATGCGCAATGAGCAGAGCGAATTGGTGCTCGCAAGCTTCAAGCACGGGGAAAGAATGACGTCCACCAAGCTAACGTTCAGATCATCCGCAGCGATCAGACGGCTGGGGTCCGCATCGCGCAGAACCCGTCATGTAATTGAGGCTTTACGACGCACTCAGCTGCTGAGGCTACATGGCGCCGCCTGCCGCTCACCCTGGGTGGGAGGGCGGGCACCGCGGGGAATCGAAACCCGTATCTCTGTTTTCCCAGACGCGCAGCGGTTGACGCAGACGCGTTAACCACTACCATAACGGCACCTCCGTGGATTACCTCCTCCAAGCGTATGTGTATCAAGATGGCTGGAATAGAACAACGCAGAGGCTGGGTGTTCGTATTTCCAGACCAATTACAGATGTACACATGCACTGGACGTGATTTTAGTCTCTGGGTGTGGAGTTGCCTTGAATAGGTAGGTCTGCGCGTTGCTCCCAGTCAATACCTCAATGGCCACCAATAGATTACGTCACGCTTACGTTTTGGCTCCTTTGAACACTGATCCAACCTGTTTACGTGGCCGATACGTTGGAAAAAAAAATCTATTCCCGCCATGGTTGTCCTGTGTTAACCGTAGCGTCCGAAAAAGCTGGCGTCCGTTTAGCACCTGGGTTGAGTTAGAGCCATGCCATAAGAGGAACCCACTAGTATCAGGCTAAAGCCATTTCAAGGATTTATACTTTTGAGCATATCGTTACACTGTCTTACGGGGCAGTATTGTTCCGTGACCCACTTTCATGATTGTAGGTGGCTGCCTTCTAGCAGGTCCGTCATCATTTCTAGCCGGCCAACGTTTTGTTGTTCCATTGCATCAGCGATCGTGGATTTTCCCCGTCTGCATTTTCTTCGCGAGCTTTTTAAAACAGGGAAGTTGGGCTGACGGTCATTGGTTCAGCCCTGCGGTCGGGGCTGTGGGGAATGCACCCTTGACATCTCGAGGATACCAAGATGAGCTTTCCACTCCTTGATGTCGGTGCCAGATAGGGTTTCAACCATGGCCATCAACCGCGTGAGGCAGTTTTGCAAACCTTGGAGTCCAATCTTGTCGGTCGGATTTACAACAGAGATTCCAGTAATTATACATAGGACATGCATTACGTGACATTTTCTTCAACACTCATATATCACTCTATCACTGAAGTATACTCATGCTATGCATTAGGTATGCCGTCCGCTCTATCAGTCTTACTTCTGGTAATTGGCCGCTGACGAGCGCCGGAGGATTGCGTGCAACCACACGTGCACGCGCACACGCGCGTGCGCACGCACGCACACACACACACACACACACACCGACATACGCATATACACGACATAGAATACATCAACACACAGATGCTTTACCCGTCAACTCCATTTGAAATGCTGGTGGCACGCGTAGGTGGTCTCGGCGGGTGAAATGCTTGTAGCGCCTGCTGCTGAATTTCATTGAGATGCCCCAGTGATCGCCGTTCTTCACCCTCACGTGAGATGTGCAAATCACCGCTAGAACAGCACGACCCTTGAGTTTTGAAATGACGTTGTCCCTGCTTGATGCATGCGGACCAGACCTTGGTGAGCTACAAACGTGGCGAAATCATTGCTAGTGCAGCACAATTGGACACATCTAAAGCAAGCTTAAAACAGATCAAAAATGTAATATTGTTGTTTGTTGTTGTTGATTGGAGTTTTAGGGCGCGCCGACTACTGTGGTCATTTTGCGCCCATAACAGCAAAATGATTTCCTACAACGGTAAATGGCTAAAAAATATGTATTAGAAATGAAAACCGCTGAATTGTGACAGAAACGCGTCATCATTGATGTGC